AATTATTCAGTGTCTGGACTCCATATGTGTGAACCTCAGACCTTCACAGGTTCACTGACCTTCACTGCCACTCACAGTCCCTTTGGCCTTCTGGTGGGTGACCTGACCGAAAGGGCCAGTGGTTGACAGAGAGTCCTGCACTGATCAATATCAGCTGCTTTTTAGTATTTTTAGGTATGTCATCTGCTCATATTGCCAGCCCAGTGCAGTATGTATACAACAGTCCTTTCAGCAGATGACAGCAGACGGAAGAGCACACAGTAACACACAAAGCCATTTCATTACACTGATTCAAAAGAACAGGACATAAAATACATACAGTGTAGGTTTGAGCATCACATTTACATTTTCCTCCCTTTTTTACATTTATTAGTTAGTCAGAAGCTTTAATTTAAAGTGACTTCAGAAAGAAGCAATGTTTGTATACATCATATTTTTATGGCCACTATATATCCTGCATGTCAGTTCTTTATCTTTTTTATGTATCTGCAACAGGGTAAAGGTGAGACTCTGGGTTGTCGTCACAAGTCTTATATCTCAGTAACCATAAAGTAGTGAATTTGAAATTGTTCCCTTTTAACTCTTTCCTGTTTCATAAATTATTTTGTTTCATAACCGTTTTAAACTTAACTGAAAAGCCTGCATTAATTATTTAATGGGAGGTTTGATTGTAACTTACCCCATACAGCACGATAATGCAATAACAGTTCAATGCTTAACCGGGCTTTTGACTTTCAAAAATAAACCCATCCTGAGAAATATTCACTGGAGTAAAACATGTAGCAACTAGCTCCAACCTCCCTATACCAAAATCATCAGAAATCATCAGTATTTCATAAGGATGTTTCACTTTCACCTCACGCGGGTTTAGATGCATTAAAAAACAGGGATGGCAGGGTGGCTTTGACATCTGAACTCTATATTTGCATCTTCTCTTTTACTCTGATTCCTAGAAACAACTAAATACTCAGAAACGTGTTCCCTTTAATATTACATTGTTTTGCCAATAGTTGCTAAAATCAATTTCTCAGTTGTAAATACATGAAATTATATCATATTCTGGGTGCACGCCACCTAAATAACTTTCTCTGGTCCGGTAATTGCCATACCTGTAAGAAGTGCATTTATTCATTACGCACTGAGGAAGATGGAGTTATTAAAGAGCCTTCATTAAAAGATATGATTACCATAATGCATAATGGCACACATTTCTAAAAGCATCTGTCAGTGTGGTACAGGGACAAGAGTTTGGGATAGTAATGCTCTTAGGGATTTCGTCTGTTTGCCATCTACATGACTCTAAGGCCTTTTGGTAATTACAGTTTCAACTATTGTTTTTATTTTGAACCAAACAGATTATTTTGGGTTGCTATGCTGTTTTAAAACCTTCAAAATATGCCCTCAGTTATAATTATGCATATGACGTAGAGAAGATGTAATATGTTCTCCCAGCGTTATGAGGTAGCTGTGTTTTATAAGCGTTTTATTGTTGTGTGATCCTCCTTTACAAGGGTGGAGCTGATGTTTAGCCACAGTTCTGTTTCCTTGTGGAAAGGTAAGGAGGGTTTTTGCTGTTCTCTGTCATTTATTAGTTATACTGGCCATCCATGCCAGTTAAAGAACTATATTGTTGTTAAGACGTTTATTAATGTATATGTGTGAATATATTTGATGGATGGTTTCTTAATTGTAATATTATTTTGTGTTTTATAAATTGCATGTGGCAGAGCATATTTTTCTGTATACTGTATTGGGTTTGAGCTTTATTTGAGTATTTTGGGGTTTTATTTTTTCCACTGTAAAAAAAATTAATCTGTAGTTTTTACAGAATTATTTTGGCAGCTGTGTTTGGCAGAATGATTTTGTAAAAAATACAGAAACTCATCTAACAAACTGTAAATTTTACAGTATGAAACTAATTTATAAACAAGAAAATCTGCATGTAAAACAGTAAATTCAACAACGCACACTGCTACTAAAATCTGTTTTGCCCCTTTAACATATACTGAGAACCACCATAATAACACAGGTGGTAAAATGCCACGTAAAGAATCAAAGTTCATTACAAGTAGTGATGAACTGCTAATATACAGGTGTGTGAGTCATTCAAGGAAACACAAAACACTATTATGGTAACACACGCGACACTTAAATAATGCAACAAACATTCATTCATGTTACGTAAAACCCTAATGTACAAACATGTACAAATGTGAAGTGTCATGCAGGGAATTCTGGGAATATCAGTCCACAGTTTCTGACTGTAAATTATATGACGTTATTTTTTAAACTTTTTTTTACTATATATATATATATATATGAAAAAGTGAAAGTGAAAGTGACGTGACATGTGGCCAAGTATGGTGACCCATACTCGGAATTAGTGCTCTGCATTTATCCCATCCAAAGTGCACACACACAGCAATGAACTCACACACACCGTCAACACACAACACACACCCGGAGCAGTGGGCAGCCATTTTTTGCTGCGGCGCCAGGGGAGCAGTTGGGGGTTCAGTGCCTTGCTTAAGGGCACCTCAGTCGTGGTATTGAAGGAGGGAGAGAGCGCTGTACGCCGTACAATCCCTGCAGGTACGAGACTCGGACCCGCAACCTTTGGGTTACGAGTCCGACTCTCTAACCATTAGGCCACGACTTCCCCATATATATAGTAAAATACATACACACATACATACATACATACATACATACATATATATTAAACAGGATATCTTCTTTGTGAATTCTTGCCTGTGCAAAACTTCCTTATATGAGGCTTTAGAGCAGTGGTTCATAACCAGAGGGCCTCAGCATAGTTCCAAGGGGGGCCGCAGGATGACTTAAAAGCATTTAAATAAATACAATTATTTTAATTAATCATTTACTTAAAAAAAAAAAAAAATCAAGAAAACAAGTACCTGCAAACACTCAACAGGTGATTTATTTAAAGGGGTCATATGATGCGATTTCAAGTTTTCCTTTCTCTTTGGAGTGTTACAAGCTGATTGTGCATAGATAAGATCCTGAAGTTGTTTAAACAACTTCTTGGAATCAGCAGTTGACATTAGCCGGGTTTCCATCCAAAGTTGCGAATTTAACTTGTGCGCAAAATTGGAATAATGCATAAAACAATTGCAATAAGCACCGTTTCAATTCAACGAGTCAAAGAGAACAAAATCTTCACTTCCTGATAAAATGGCACTGTAAATCACTAAGAAAAGTAGAAGCCGCTGAATATAATAATTTTCATATATAATAAATTACTTGCACCTCAGAGCGAGAAGATGAAACACAATAAATGCTGTCATTGCTTTCGGAGGTGGATGCCTGCTGTTTGGGAACATAGTCGTGTAAGACAATTATACAGAAATATTTTGATGACAGACTTTGCTCAGGCATTTCAGAATGACCATAACAACATTTCAGATGCTGTGCAACGAGATCGGTCTGCTGGTTAGTCAGGATTTGCCGTCCCGTAGCGCAAAGTCACATGACTTTTTGTGTGTTTCCATCTCCCATTATTGCACAAGTCAAAAACCACCTCAAGTGAGAATAAAATTTTTTTTGCAAATTAAGGGATTTTTATTCAAACTTTGGCGTTTCCATCACTCGTTTCTGATGCAATACTTAAAAATGCGCATAAAAACAGTGTGATGGAAACATAGCTATTGTTTAGGAAAATTCTGACGATTCTGTTTTAAAACACCAGCAATGTCTATGATAACATACTAAATGGTAAAATGACCATACATTTAAAAAAATAATAATAATTAAATGATAAACCTTACATTTCAGCCTAATAAATGACTATATGTGACTCAGGACCACAAAACCAGTCGTAAGGGTCAATTTTCTGAAACTGATAGATACATTAGATACAACTATTTGAAAATCTGGAATCTGAGGGTGCAAAGAAATCAAAATATCGAGAAAATTGCCTTTAAAGTTGTCCAAATGAAGTTCTTAGCAATGCATATTACTTATCAAAAATTAAGTTTTGATATATTTATGGGAGGAAATTTACAAAATATCTTCATGCAACATGATCTTTACTAAATATCCTAATGATTTTTGGCATAAAAGAAAAGTCGATCATTTTGACCCATACATTGTATACATTCATGTATTGTTGGCTATTGCTACAAATATACCTGTGCTACTTATGACTGGTTTTGCGGTCCAGGGTCACATATATGTTATATACAATTGGTCTGACTTTGAACAAAAACAAAAAACAGCAGATGGGTTGAATGAAAATGTAAATTCACTCTCTGACAGTAGGTGGCGCTTACGGAAAAGCAGAAATACAATGGTTACCACTGTTACACAAAGCAGTGCAGCGCTTATAAACTACTTTTTTAGACATCATATAGAGGTAAGATGAAAAGTAATTGTCATCAAAACTTTTTTGAAGACAGTCAGTTCCCTTCAGATATATATTTATATAACCGCTCTTCCCCAAATAAAAACTCATTGGATTTACACATCGAATTTCGAGTTTGCAGGCATGAAACTGAATTAATACAATTCTAAAAGGTTGATATCCACTGCTAAAGAGCATTCTTGGTGGTTTCCATTGCATTGCCATGTGGTGGCTAAAGTTTTCGGAGTACATTTTAGTGCATTGCTATGCAGTTACTAGATGTTATGTGTGGTTGCTAGGTGGTTATTTACTGGCCAAAGTAAAAAAATAAATAAAATAAAATAAAATAAAAAAAGTTTTATGGTATTCTGGTCTCTGCATATAGTTCAGTTATCTCTCTCAATATAAGTGTATTTTATTTATTTATTTATTTATTTTTGCCTCTATTCATCATCCACCAGGTAATTGCATCGAAAAGTAAAAGCACTCCTCTGGTCAACAAGCTCCATAATTTGTGGTATCATCCTTCAGGTCTACAGCCCAAACAGTAAAGGACGAGATGTGTTTTAAGATGTGTTTAAAGATGAAATGCTTTAATTGCTTCTACACTAAACGCAGTGACCGCCAAAGCAACAAAATGACCAACAGCAGCTCCAAGGCATCAGGGGAGGCCCCTGTAGACACTCTAACCTCACAGTCAAACCTGAGACATGAGCAACAAAGCAAACAAGACTGCAAGGAAACTGCGAAGACAACTGGATCCAAACGAGGACGGGCTGAAGGTATCCCAAAGGAAGATGCTGTCGTGCTTAAAGAGTGGAGTTTTAAGACCAGTGAGCCATCAATCACTGATGGCAAAACAGGTCAAATGACAGCAAGACCTCAACCAGTCAATGCAAAAGAGCCAATCAAGACCTTTGTGTCTGAAAATGGGGACATGATGGATAGAGATGAAGAGAGGTCACTGGATAAACGCAGAGAAAGCAAAGAAAATAATACTAATAGATTGAAGAGGAAGAACACAGTGACCCAAGAGAAAGACTCAAGAAAATCATCAACCACTTCCTCAAGAAAACTAACATTAAACAGGCCCAGAAGAAAACTTAAAAAGGACCTAATACCGAACCCTGAGGTCTTCCACAAGATTGACACACACGCAATCAATGCTGGAAGAGAGGTGAGAGAGATCAGACGTCTTACATGTATGTCTTTGTTTTTGGAGGAGCGAGTAGTTTGATATGTGTTTATTTGGATTTGTAATTTGCGGCTCAGAATCAGGAAGATCTTTTCAGTGCGAGCAATCACCCAGACAATCACAGAGGGGGCATGCAGTGATTTAGACAAACTGCGTGCCATCTGGATCTGGCTTTGCAACTACATTGGTCAGTCTTTCTCTCACACACATACTCAAGCACAAAAATTATCTTCCACATCAGCAATCAAGGGTTTGTTTCTTTTTTGAGATTTACTGATTTAATTATGTCCTTTTCCTCTGACCAATAAAAGCTTAGTGTATCCTCAAGCCATGATACTGCAACACCATTGCAGGATTCAATTCATATATATTGGCAGTGGTGTAGTGGTGCCTGGAGAAGTGGGTATACTCTTAATGTATGCCCCCCAATTTTCTTAAAAATGACCCAGCAAAGGATGAACACCCTGTGTTATAAACAGTGACATGCAAAACTGGTCTTGCATATGTAGTTCATTCCAAAATGGGCCATGAGTATTTGCACTCACTTTTGTCACTTAACTTATGCTGCTTTAGTAAGGATCATTAAAAAAAATCTTATTATCCACAGAATAGGTGCAGATTTTGGAATAAATAATAAAAAAAAAATTTAAATATACTGCAGCAATTGACATTTTAGTAAATTACATGTCATTTTGTTTAGCTATCTGTTCAGAATAGTGCAAGAATTTTGATCTCTATTTGAAACAAAAAAAATCATGATTCTCAATCATTTCAGAAGTGAGGGGGAAATCATGAAAAAAAATCATGAATCATTGTTGCAGTGCAGAGATAGACAGTAAGATGTGTTGGCACTTGGCACTGCCATTAGGTGATGCATTAAAAAAAAACAAGACACTGCAGGTGGTCAGAATGGTAAGTGGTAAAGCTTGAAAACTAGGCAAACATCTGCTATGGTGACATAAGTTACTGGTAACAGATACTGTGTTTTACTTACAGAGTATGATGTGAAGGGCTATCTGGGCTTTTCTAAGATGGTTTACTCTCCTGAGCAGGTCATTTTGACTGGACGAGCTGTGTGCTCTGGTTACTCCAGTGTCTGTTTACAGATGTGCAGGTAATCCAAGAAATTTATCTAAAAGAGTCTGGTGATTTAGAAATATATACATACATACATACATACATACATACACACACACACACAGATGAGGGTATAGATGTCTATACAGTACTATTTGGACACTCTACACTATTTATGAAAGTTATTGCATTAAATAACAAAATATCAAACCGAATGGCAAGACAAAAACCTTCCAAAGACATACTTGTGTGAATGAAATTCAATCATGTAATTATTAAAAAAGTAAGTTTACACCTTATTTTAAGGTGTCCTTGTTACAGTGTAATTATACATTTAATTATACATACATAATTACACATTTTACTGAGTAATATTAATTAACTACATGTACTTACTATATGGTTAGGTTTGGGTTAGGTAGGGCTGGGCAAAAAATCGAATGCGATTTTCATTCGCATCTCGTCAGTAAAGCCGCTTCTGGTGATTAGTAGTAAATCTCCAGCACGTGCTTTCAGATGGAGCGGCATTTACTACACAGAGCCGTAGATCACTGACAAGCTACACAAAATCGCGTTCAAAATCGCAGGCGATGCATTGCCGCAAAATCGCATTTGATTTTTTGCACAGCCCTAGGGTTAGGGTTAATTGCATGTAATTATGCATTATTTATTGTTATTACAATAGTAAGTACATGTAACATGTGTAACAAGGACACCTTAAAATAAAATGTTACCAAAAGTAATTGTAGTCTGATTACAAGTATTTATAATGTAACAATCTAATTACAAGTACTTACTTTTTGGAATCTGATTACATCTAATCAGTTACTACCCTACACTGCTTACGTCGAATAGATTAAAACTGATTACAAAAATGGCTCTGAAAAAAAAAGAAAGTTCTGAGAAAAGCACCAGCGTTATTTGATTGCCACCTGCGAATAAGTAGCAATCGTTGCGGTGCTTGACATTTTTATATAGTTTTCTCTGTCTATGCACAAAAAAGTTTTGTGCTCACAAATGGCAAATGGCAGATTAGTTGGTAAAAAGAGCAGTGAGGAAAAATGATTCTGAGATAGAAGTTCCGTTTGAAAGAGGAGAAATTAAATCAATAATTAAATCAAATGCAGAACTAAACTCTTTTTCCATGCAGTCACACTGAATTTTAATGACGTGGTTGCCTAATTACACTATCTGTTTAGGGAAGCTGGTATTGAGTGCAGAGAGGTGTCGGGCTATAGTAAAGGCGCTGGTTACCGGCCGGGTCAGAGTTTCCGGAACACTGAATCTGACCACAGCTGGAATGCAGTGTGTCTGGATGGACAATGGTTCCTGTTGGATGCCTGCTGGGGCGCTGGATATGTGGACCTAGACAACAGAGCCTTTATAAAGAGGTGAGACTGGACTACAGAACAGCTCACTTTAAGATGTCTTTGTATTAGTATGCAATATATTTCCGATGTACAGTTATATACAACACAAATGCACTGACCATTATTATATATTGAAAATGACTAAAACTTCAGATATAAAGAGTACTACTTTCTGACCGACCCTGAGAACTTCATCGACTCTCACTATCCTGAAGAGGAGGAGTGGCAGCTGTTGGAAAGCCCCATTAAGATTGAAGAGTTTGAGAAGAGGGTGCTGAAAAAGCCTGACTTCTACACACTAAACTTAACTCTCAATCACCCGAAACACTTCCTTATAGTTACAGGTAAATCAAGTTTAAAACACACATACTATTCTCTTAGACATTAGCTCTTTGCAATCATGTTTCATATAATTTTCAAGAAATGCTTCATGGCAAAATTATGAATAATAATTAATTATAAATATAAATACATATTTTTCAAAAAATATAAAAAGATATATGAATTCATAAATACCAAGTTTTTGGTCCACACGACAAAACATTTCACAATCTGAATTAACCTTGCCTTGTCATAAAATGTCAAATAATTTGATACTGACCTTGACACAGTCATATGGGGCCAGTTGTTCAAAATAATCTGACTTGATTTCGGCTATCGGATTTGATCAAATCTTGAAAATGGGTTGTTCAAAAGGGGAAAAAAAGGATTATGAAATCTGATGATATCACAAAAAAACTATCTTCGTTTTAATCTTTATCAAATTGTCAGTTTGTGCCGTACAAAACTTTTTAGCAAGATTGGGATACCTTTGATCCAAAAAAAAAAATAATCAGGATTATACTGATCCTAGCAGAAGGGTATATTTCAGTAACAAAAATGTAATAAAACTTTAAAACTGGTCCAAAAATACAATATTTGTATACAATACACACACACATTATAGCAGGTAGACATTAGGCTACCTCTTAAGCTTTTCAGTAGCCCTACAGTAAAGTAAAAAAGTTACTGTAACTTTAAAATTAAGTTAAAATTACTGTTTGTAGACTACATTGGCACAATCATTAGAGGTAAACCAGTCAAAAGCAGTTATTTGTTAGCGAACGCAAAGTTTATTGTGTGAATGCAATGCACAACTTTTCTGAGAAAATGCAAAAGCATTGCTTCTTTTTTCCCCATCACCTTTAGGGGCTCCGCAGAGCATTAGTAATCCAGATTTGATCATTTGAAAAAGTGTGTATCTGGATTATTGTGATCCAAATCAATTTTGCTTTGAAAAACCAGCAGAAAAATAAGTGGATTAGCTGATCCTGAACAGCAAAACATGGGATTTCCAAATCCAGATTAAGATTTTTGAACAACTGGTCCAAGGTCTCCAGGGTTCCTCTCTATGACATAATTTCCCCCTTTTTTTCTTAAACTAAAAAAAAAAAAAAAAAAAAAAAATTTTTGGCAGCAAACCCACCAGATGGGTTACTCTTCATATGT